ATGAGCCAGCTCGAGTTAGGCTCGATAAGTAGCCCGTGAACTGATCTCGATGAGCTAACAAGTCAAGCCCAAGCTAGTCCCAACTCGACTCGTTAGTTTATGAGCCGGCTCATTTAAAAAAATATTAATATAAAATTATACCTAAAATATATTAAATTTGAAGACTATCCTTAATGTCTTAAAATGTTTAAAAAATATTTAGTATTTTCTATTCTGTAATTTCTTATTATGTCTCTTCTAATGGCATTTTCTATTTGTCATTTTATTATAATACTGTCTTAAATTAATATTATTTTATATCTTTTATAACAAACAAACCGACTTGTGAGCCGACTCGAGCTCGTAGCCTTAAGCTCGAGCTCGATAAAATTAATCAAGCTCAAGCTCAAACCTAGGGTGGCTTGAGCTTTACTCGACTAGTTTATACCCATAAGTGGGACTACATCAGACATAGCAAGGAGATGCCTTTGCTATGATGGGGATCGATCAATCCAGAAGCTTACAGAGACTAAGAAGAAGTCCCTCCTATCTAGGGAGAATGACGTAAAAGCTTTACGGGTAGCATGTGAAATTGGTTGTGGATCATAGGATTCCACATGGATCGCAGAATCGATCCCACGACACCGGATTCCACAAGATCGTGAAAAACTCACTATCACAGGTGATTGAAATGAACCAGCTCAATTTCCTATTGCACCCTTATTTTTTCCTTTTTAAATTTTCCCAATTTCTCTATTTCTGATTAGGTTATTTTCTATTACACTACTTCAATATTATTTGTATTTAGATGGTTTAAAGAACCAATTTTGGTATCATGTATTGTGGAGATTTTAATCTCCATTTTATGCACTTCAGAGTACAGTATCATCTTCTTTTTGCATGTAGTGTATTTGTATCTTGCTTATGAACAGGTGGTTGATCCTTCTCGACCTCTATATTGTGTTGTTTCACAGTCCTACCACTAATTCAGGTGAAACAATCATTGATTAACGCGAATCTGCCGTCTAATAATAGATTTATCCCTCTAATCCCTTCCAAACAATGTAGACCACACATAGCCTTCTCTCGCTACAAACAACTCCCCGTTAACTTTTTTTTTTTCAAATTACCTTCTAGAAGCCTTTGAACGATGTTACTTAGCTTTTGTAGTGGGATAGTTCTGTGCAATATTTCTTACAAGTGGCTAACCACATCCAATAACAAAGGAACTTCATTGATTTAGCCAAGAGTGGTTCGACTTTTGTGAATATTGAAGTAGTGTTTGTGAATTATAGGATTTTTTATGACAAAATATTACTTTTCCAATTTTTTGTATTAGGAAAACAAGGGAACTTTATGGGATTTGAGGCGTGCAAAAAACAATCATTTATGAGAAAACTTCTCATTAAATTTATTCTAGTAGCCTACGCTTTGATCGAGTTGTAAAGTAAATATTTTTTAAAACATTTTATCCTTTTTAAAATAAGAGGATTGATTTGACGACTTCTTACCTTCTAAATTATTATTTTTTCTAAATCTGCAAGATTTTCAATGAAATGTATGCCTTCTTGGTTTTGAAATTCTAAAGATCATAGCAAGTGAAAACTATTAAATTATAGTATGTATGGTAGTCTCCAAATTTATTCTATTTTTTTTCATTTTAAAAAAAGTAACAATTTCCCAAAATAAAAGTTTGCAATATGTGAAAGGGTTTAGGGTTTAGGGAACAATTTCCCAAAATAAAAGTTTGCAATATGTGAAATTATGTCTTTACAGAATTACGTACATTTATATTAAAATACTAGATCCTAAGATTTCTTTATGGATAGAAGCATATCTCCATATATCATTTATTAACGAAGGACATAAGCCCCATTATTTAGAAATAAGAAAATAAACAAACCCTTTAGTAGAATAAACAATGGGCAACCCTCTTAATTTTTTTCCTGAGAAAACAATTGAGTGGAGAGTATAGGCTTGTACTCATGACCTTAAAAATAGAAGTTAGGTATGAAACACTAAGCTAAAGGCCAATTAATAAAAAAAAGTTGGACCATTTCTCAATTTAGGTGGTATCCTTATACATGGGCAACACTAATCCATTATCGGGTTTATAATTCATTATAAGGTTGTAAACGAACTGCATTTGATGAACAACTCAAATTGACTCGATTAATACTCTATTAAGTTTATTCAAATTAGTTATTAAACATGTTTAAATGTTTTTTTTAAGTGAAATTTAAAAGAACTAAACTTAAACACGATCCAATTTTTTTATGTTAACGAACAAATTTGTATACCTGAAACATGTTAAATGTTTGATATTATGCTTAATGATAGATTTAAATAAAATTTGATTCATCAAAACTTATTTAATGATATATATAATAATAATATACTATAATTAATTATTAATAGCAATTTAAGATTATTAATTACAAAACTATTTTATTAATATTTATTTATTAATTAACCCAATGTATTAATTAATACATTCTTATCCACAATAAACATTAAAAATAATTAATTAACCTTTTTAATAAATACATAATATCTAATTATTAGCTATAAAATCCACATTAATTATAAAAAATCATATATCTTTATTCTTTTTCTCTTTCCACATACGATGGTTGTTTAACACTCAGCAACATTAGCTCGTTCTCTCCTTTTCTGGCTTTGGCTCACTTGTTTCACCTAAAATGTTCCTTATTAAATATTTATAATTTTTTAGGTTTTTTTTCATTTTTTCAAAACAATTTATTTTTTGTTATTGCATATGGATATTAAGTTAATCTAATTCCTTCTCATTTCTTTATTCAATGAACAAGTTTATCATATTTATTTATGTTATTTGATTACAAAAAATTTGCTTACAGTTTCTATATTATCTTATTTAATTAATGTAAAATAACTCAAACTCAACTCAATTAAGTTTATTCAAATTAGTTAAAAAATAAGTTTGAATGTTTTTAAAAAAGCAAAATACAATGAACGAAACTTAAACACAGTTCAATTTATCTATTTATGTTAACGAACAAATTTTTTTTCTTCAACTTGTAAAATGTTCGATATTATGCATCATTATAGCTCATATCATATATGATGAATTATTTAAATAAAATTCGATTCATCAAAACTTATTTAATAATATATTTAATAATAGTATACTATAAATTATTATTAATAACACTTTAAGATTAAATATTATTAATTACATAGCTATTTTATTAATATTTATTTATTATTTAACCCAATTTATTATTTAATACATCTTTATCCATCATAAATTTTAATATTAATTAATTTTTCATTATATAAATACATAATATCTATTTATTAGTTATATAACCCAGATTAATTATAAAATATGATATATCTTTATACTTTTTGTCTTTCCACATATCATGACTATTCAACACTCAACAACTTTGGCTTGTTTGTTTCACATAAAATGTTTCTTATCAAATATTCATAATTTTTTTTCGTTTTTTTTTCAAAATAATTGATTGGTTGTTGGTCAATATATATATTAAGTTAATCTAATTCCTTCCTATTTCTTTATTCAATGAACATGTTTAATATATTTATTTATGTTATTTGATTACAAAAAATTTGCATGCAACATATATAATAACTTATTTAATTGATACAAAAGTTAAATGTTGATTTGGAATTTATCCAAATGTTTGGTTGTTTAGGTTTATAAAATCATTTGTTAAATAACTTGATATGAACGTGATACCTGCTTAAATTTTTAGTTGGTTTATCAACACATCGAAATACAAGTTAAATTAATATAAAAAAGTCAACTACAAATTAAGAACAATTATTAAAAAAAATTGAACAAGCCAAGTACGAACATATATGTAAAAGCTTGGCTTAAGCTGAAGTCAAACATGAACAATTTATAATATGACCAAGCCAAGTCCAATCCACCACATACTCGACTCCATTATGCTCAATTATAACGCTAACTTTCTATATAGTTTCATATTTATTAGATGTCTTATAAATCACTTCAAATATTAGGGTTGTGAATATGACATAAATGAAAAATCCAAGAAATTTGAGAAAAGGATGGTGGATTTTAGATCTGGCAATGGAAGATGATGAAGATGGAATAAAAATTGTGAGCTTAAATTAGCCCTAGTGTATAAACTTATTAAAATGTATTTCGGAGACATTATTTAAGATTATCTAGACTAGATTTTAAAATTTGGAATGCAATAAATTTAATTTTTTATTATTTTACCGAGTGTATTTTAATGTAATCTTTATCATTTATACTATTCAAAAATCTTCATGATAACAATAAGTTTAATAGGTGAAATAACTATTTTCAGCACTTTATTTTGCTCCAGCACACACATAATGCATCGAACAATGGAAAACAATATCACATGGTTGTATTTTGAAGCTTTTAACAAAATTGATTTCAGGAGTCAAAGTAGTCATTCGTTTTCTTTGCAATTTTCACTAGCATAAAGGCTTGTTGAAAAAGGCAAGCTGGTTGCATAAGCATCCTTACTGGAGGATTTGGTTGGCAGCCACATATTACCTTAGCAAAATGAAAACCTACAAATTGAAGGATTGGGATAGAGAGGGTGTGTATAGGGTTAGCTCATGCCTCCCACAAAAGAACTTGCCAATCAAGGTGTTCGGGCTGAGTCAAAAACCAGTCCAAAATGAGATTAACTGCCTGTGGAATCAAGCTGAATGGATTAAGATGTTGGGAGAAAGGGTGGAAGGGGTTAGAATCCTCCATTTAATATTTTGTAGCACAGGTCTCGAGTGAAATTTAACGAAGTGCAGTCATCCTTTTTATTACGCCAAGTTCACTTTAAAAGCATTAATCGGCGACAAGTTTAACAAAAATGAACTCTAACTGAATAATTTCAAATTTAAGGACTTGGTGTAATTGCAACATTGTTAAAGAAAAGAGATTTCTACTTATCAAACTAAAATTATAGTTCATACATAAGTAAAACTGATTGTCGAATATAATTACTAACACATACCCGATATTAGGATTAGCAAATAGCTGTGCTAGCTTTCTTTTGTCAGGTTTAATAGTTTTGGAATGTCCACCGTATAGAAATCTCCGGTGGCCAATCAGAAAATGTGGAAAATTTCCTCCTTGGGTTGTAACAAAAACTTCACTGTGGAGACAAACAGTGTAGTCTAGCGCAGCCATTCTAGAGGAATAATTCTGGAAAAAAGAAACTATGCTTAGATAATTGACTCTAGGCCTCTAATTGAAACATTGTGAGAAACACGATACCTTAAAAGAAGCAAGCTCTTCAGCCGATGCCAGTGTCTCTTTGGTTTGTAAAAGAGGAAACATTTCAAGAAGAGGACGCATGGTCTTTTCTGCCCTGTATATCTTCCCAGAAGCCAGATAAATCAATGTGTTGTTAGTGAATCCCATGCCTCGGAGCATCAGTCCAACCTATGGCCACAATCCAGGTAAACCATAGAAAATAATATAAGAGCTTAATACAGCATTAAGACAGCCGTGACTAACAAAGCATCTAATTTCATTCATCTGTACACTTTGTCAAGACTGTATTTGAAAAAAAATATATTTTTAAGAACATGTCTACCGGCGATGCCTATTCAACAAAAATCATACATTAAGCAAAAATCCATTAAGCAACAAGAGAACAAAAATTAGAACATGGAAGAGATTCTACATCACTATAACAATGAAATGCAGAACACAAACAATAATATAGAATGAGATATCATGCAGCATGTGCACCTTGGATATCTTCAACGGCCCTAACAATATTAAGCGCATGAGTTAATTTTTCAACATATGAGATATTAGATATAACACTACCAAGAGATTTCGGCCATTACTAAATATTTCCAAAAGCACACACCCACATGAATGATTATTATTCTTAATTAAAAGAGATCGCTTCCAATTAATATTGGTTTGCAAGCTCAGATTCTTTACTATAGAAGCAATAATTTAGACTATAAAAAAGAAAATATATAGCTATGAACTAGAAGCGGACGGAGGAATGAAAACAAATACAATATAGGACTCATTATTCTCTCGTCTTGGGCAAACATGAACCCACATTAATTAGTAATTGACCTAGTCTAACAAGAGAATTCTTATCAAGGACCATGCGTTGCATACCGACAGAATCCTTTAAACAAGGTTAAAATTTTATCAAAATGGCCAATTTTAGGCTGACCTTAGCTAATAGAGGATGTGTTTTATTGAACGAACCTTATGACTCAAAACTGACAGACATAGCGACGAAGGAAAACCCATGCTTAGAGCATAGTCATCAAACAACTGCATTGTCGCAAATAAACTGACTACACAGCAAAGGGCACATACCCTATTCTTACTGAAGTGAGGTTATTCTGATGTGAATATATAGTCGACAAAAATTGTAGAGATTATCAAAAATATATATATATATATGAAATGAATCTTTTAAATTGTTAAATAAATTTTGGGCTGTCCCTGCATTGTCTAAATGCAGTGAAAAGTGTGCAAGGGTAGTTGTACCAACATCCGGGTGTAGTGTTAAATAAGCAAGGGTTCTCACATCAAAGACGGATGCGAGCAAAAAACTTAGTCCATGAAACTAATATTACGATAGAAACTTGTAATACTCTCATAAGTAAATTAACGTAATTAATACAAACAATACCTCTTAAAGAAAGAATTTTTATTGTAGAAAATTTATATGAACATGTCAGTAGAGTGGCAAAAATTTTTAGAAGCATTTATGGTGGCTATGATTTTGGAATGACTAGGTAGAGTCATTAGATTTTGTTTGAGCTCATGATTTTATTCTTGCTAATATTTTGTTTAAGAAAAAAACTGAACTGAGTATCACTCATATGAATGAATCTAATAAAACATAAATTGATTATTTTCTTTTGAGAAAAATAGATTTCAAAATTGTAGAGTTTGTAAGGTCATTCCAAATAAAAATTTAAGTACCCGACATCAATTAATAGTTTTAAATTTTAAGATGAAAGGTTATGTGCAGACCAAAGCTGTCAGCATAGATCTCAATATAATCAAACAAATCAGACGACGGTCAGATGATCAAGGCGTCCTACTGTCCTACAACTAACCGTGTGATGAAAAATCGACCGACATACTATGGAGAGAGATCCGAATGGTAGACCACGCCTGCAGTCCCGACCGACCTGAGCACAAATGGTAGGCCTACTAACTTTTACCATGGCGGGCAAAATTGTCACTCGATCGAACGCCTCGGCCGAACCAGCACAAGGAGCAGTTGTCACTCAGCTGGTCGTCTCAGTCGGCCAAATTAAAGCAAGTCTTCCAGCCAATTACCCTCATTAGAATTCAAATTTTAATAAAAATATGGTATGAAATCCATACGATTAATTAGAACATCAATGGTATTAAGAG